GCCCGCCCGTCTGCCCGCCGTCTGCCCGCCCGTCTGCCGCCCGTCTGGCCCGCCGTCTGTCCGTCTGGTGTCTGTGAACACTTACTCGCGCCTAAAGATGTGTAGGATTTTTTTAAATTGAAGAAACCGGTGCGCATTTGGCTCGAGTAGAAACTTTGAGATTTTTTATATAATCCTATTGCATTGTTTAACGTGAGTTTGCTCTTTTGGCTGAGTAAGGGTTCTTGTTGATGTCGGCGGGGGGGGGGGGGATGGAGGTGCGGTCGGAAGTCGCTCCGCGAAGGCGCCGCCCCCACCGCCGCTTCGCCCGGCGCTGGCGCCCCGGCGCGTGGCAGATTTAAGGCGGCCATTAGCGCCCAAGGCCCCGACCCACGCCGCAAAGGGCGCCCGCCCACACAAATGCCAGCCTCCGATTCAATGGCGATCAGTATACTGATCGATAATCTCTCGAATTACGATTAATCAAAGTTTTACAATCGATTGTTTCAATCAACAGTCAAAAAAAAAAAAAAAAAAAAAAAACTGTCTCTCCCAAAGACACATGCGTCTCTATGTATTTGATGCGCTGCATCGGAAATCAAATCCAGAATTGTGCCACAGCCCCAATTTATAATTTCACTTTTTTTTCTTTCCGTAACTTAACTGAGGGGCGGGCCGCAATTCTGGCTTCACATGGATTCAGCGCGTCGATTTACATAGAGGAGCATGTGTTAAGGGTTGATAACTTTTTTGTGCGTATTATCTTTGCACCGATTAATGCTTGCATTGATTAATTTATCAGATTATTCAGCTCGATTTTTTTAAATTCTAAAATTTGTATTTAGGACAAAATACCAACGTCTCTTTATCTTTCTCTTACTACAGAAAAACAAGTGATGCCACAACAACATAAACGTACTCTTTCGCATTGTTTGTTTATAATGCAATTTTTGAAAATTGAGATAATTCCACGAAAGTCAAACCTGCGTACTTTTCATAAACGTATTTTGCACCATGCGAGAAAAACATCATAGGAACTATTTTTGCGAGAATCGTAAAATGGCCTTTATTTCTGGGAAAATAAGCGAAAATTCTTCATGTTTTGGAAAAAAGTTCATGACTGCAGTTAAAGATTTTTAAGAACAGGTTTCAATTAGAAAAAAAAACCCTCTGGATTCAATACTATAAATGTCGGAAGACCATTCTTTTTAAATTGCAATTTTCAAAAATTCAGGGAGAACAAGAATTATTCTCCTTTTTTGATACAAGTTTCCAATAAATTCTCTGGAAAGTCGTAGTTTCTGGTACATTATTACTTTCGCCGTAAGTAGTATTCGAGGAAGTAATAATAGAGACCTGGTAAGTAGTAATAAGCGATTGATTTCATTAGATATTAATCGATTCTTTTTTTAAGAATTGTGCATCTCTAGTGCGATTTAAGCCTGCGTTTGATGTTTCAAGTGCCCCTATCCGTCGTGTTACGTGTAATGTGGTGAGTTATTGTTGTCATTTGCCCCCACCTATCAACGAGGTGTGATGCTAGAGGCCTCTGGATGAACAAGCGGAACGTTTCGTCAAGTCAGATCGAGGGCAGCTCGGTTCCACGGATTGCGGGTTTTGTGGATGATTTGAATATGACATTAGAAACGCAACTTCTTATTGTGTGAAGAAGTTAGTAAGTTTGGGATGTTACTTGTACATATGTAAGGCGGCAGTCTAGCCAAATGGCCCTAGCTCAAAATCCTGCGCCATATGAAAAGTTACGACATCACCTTCTCGTTAGATACCTTCGGGATATTGAAAACCAACGCTATTATACGCGCACGTTTTCTTGAGCCTCGGAATACCCATCCCCACCATTTGTCAACATTAGTTACATGAAGAATAATGATATCAACGAGCGTTATAGACGAAATTTGTTAGATGGATAGAGTTTGCACTCGTTTAGTAGAAACCATTTTTCATCGAAAAACGAACTACAAATTTTATATAAAAATCCTTTTGTCAAAATAGCCAAACACCCCACTCTTCTCGCAACCTGCGAAGCGAGGGCTTAAGAAAACGTGCGCCCATAATACCAGTACCAAAATCCAAAATAGATGTTCTTGGAACATGTTCCTAAACGAAGTCTCTAAAATCCAACTTCACTAGAGGATCCACTGTAAGTATTAGATACAAGTGTGTACAGTAATCGTATTAATACATGATCTTATTAATCTTAATAATATGTGAAGTTAATCATAAAAAGATATTTGTATCAACCAACAAAAACACAATAAAAGTAAAACAGTAATGTTTGTTAAGAAGCACAGAACTGAAAGACAAAGCGCTCCGTGCGGGAAGTTAAGGAAGTAGGTGTCGTGTATTTTTGAGGGAGCGCATTCGCAGATAAATCGTTTACAAAACAAAGAACAGTCTCATCGAGCAAGGGAACTCAAGCACAACAGAATAAGAGCAACTGGCTCTCATCCACTACAGGAGATAACGCACACGAAAATTTCCGAATCCCGAGAAAGGCTGCTGCCTCGTCATTACGAGCTTCCGAATGTTATGTTTCGTCCGCATTGGGCGGAAACCCTGATCCCATTCCGTGATCGTGGATTTGGGCGGCTTTCCCGCCAGACAAGAGACGGTCGCGGGGCCCGCGCGCTTGCGTCACGCGGCCGGCCCCTCCCCCTTCCCCCCCTCGCCCAGCGCCGAATCCTGACCTTTCGCCGTGGACCTCGCGTGGCACGACTCCGCAGTGGGTGGCCCCTCGCCCGCGCCGCTTGTGTACGGTCGCTTTATTACAGGAGACCGGCGGCCTCGGCAGCCAAAATGCTGCTCGACAAAGCAGCAGAGGGGCGTGGAACAAAATATGAGTAAACGAAGAGACCTGCAGTTCAAACTTGATTGGTTGGTTGATTGATTGTTAGTGATTCCGGGCGCGCCAACTGCTAAAGGACAATAATCCCGTAAGTGTAGTGCGTGTTTTCTCTCTCTTTCTGCCGAGATCCTAAGGTAATTCATATTATATATGATTTTTTTTTTAATTTATTGTCTACCTGTTCAACATACATGTTTTTCAGGGTTGTGAATACAATCATACATAACTTTATATATGAATGATTAGAGGTAATCAGACTAGAGTGAATAAATTCCAAATAGTGAATTAAACACATATTACGCTAAACAAGTTTCGGAAAGTGTCCTCATCTACAGTGGTACAAAACGTGCAGCATTATTGCTCAGGCAATCTAGTCGAGAAATGTGGATAAAGCATTACGCTAATCTCAATCTGCGCACATTCTTTACCATAATCTATTTTGATTGGGGTGAATAGGCAATTTACGTCTTCCTTTGTTACATGCTCCAGCTGGTGCTACCAACACAATTTTTGTTGCAAACACTCTCACCAGAAAGGTGACACTCCGGAGGACGTACCTAGCGCCTTATATAACTAATATTATCATACCAAAATAACAAAATAAGGGGGTTCTAAAAATGTACGAAATAGTCGCGGCCGTGTGGTAAACTAAAACGCCTAGAGCTTTTAATCGGCAATTGTTGAAGTTGTATTAAAATTATATAAACTGATATCAGATAGATAGTACGGACAACTCAGTACTATCTTGAGCTTTTTTGCAGCAAAACAATAAAGCGCCGCCAAACGATTCGAGAGTGCGTGAGGTCGGTGCACGAGTACCCGAGTAGGTTATGTGCATATTTCCGTCATATCAACCAGTTTTCATTTTATAGAAACTTACCTTTTGAAATATTAGCTGAAAGAGAGGAGCAACGGGTTATAAAATGTTGTTAATTTTATTTATGTTTCTAATATTAGGGAAATAATGTGATATTTAACTTTAATTTGTTTATTTACATTACTATTACAAAACTCGATCACCTTAAAACTAAATTATATTAACTTAAAGTAACTCATACTCCCCCGGCGGAAAGTTAACCTTTCTTTAACCATACATATATTTCTAAGTCTCATACAATGTAGTAGAAAAACATGGCACAATTAAACAATACAATTCCCTCTGAAAAAAAAGCGTTTTCCTATATTATCACATATTCAGATCGTCATAAGGAAGAACTACATGTAATGCAATTCTCTTATCATTGGAACATTCTTAAAAATCTCTTAAATAAGTAGTTTACCAATATACATTTAGGTCTACAAGAATAACATTGTTATTGTTATACTACTTAACATTCCCATATTTTGATACGTAGTTATCATTGGACATTAATGGACCGTCTGCCTGTCTACATTTACTTTGTAAAAATGAAACCCGCATATCGAAATAGTGTATGTAGCGTTTTTTAAAATGCAATGATGCTTTGCGTATTTTAATGATATTCACATCTATTATGTTTATCAACAATATTATTATCTAAAATTAAGTAAAATAATGCATAATTTAATGAGTTTGTGAGTGAGTTTAGGTGCGCAAAACACTCTATTAACATGCCCAGAATTGATGTTCCATTTCTATGGCGTAAGACTTAAATTGCCAGTGTCTTCACTATCCGCCTGTGAAGAGGAACAGGCGCTCTCGGCAGCTGCCGCATAGAAGCCCTTGCCATCGAAGTCCATAATCTTGGCTATCAGAAGGCAAAAGCGGAAGCTGCCTGTTTCAGCCGAGCCCCGCATCGTGGTTCTCGAAATCTCTGATATCTGTAATAGAAAGGCTAATAGGAAATAGAGATCACCGCGCAAAAGCCGTGGCTCCGAAGACCATAATTTTGGCTATCAGAAGGTGAGAGCGGGGGCCTCAGCATAGAAGCAATGACCTGCACGTAGCCTTGGAATTCCCATAATATTGGCTATCGGAAGGCGATTTCTGACGTCGCAGCGTAGAAATCGTGGTCCCAGATGTCCATTTTGTTGGCTATCGGAAGGCTATGGCTGACGTCGCCGAGTAGAAGCCGTGGCTAGCGGAAGATGAAGGCGGAGGCCGCCGCGTAGAAGCCGTGGCTAGCGGAAGGCGGAGGCGGAGGCCGCCGCGTAGAAGCCGTGGCCATGGAGGTGGCTAGCGGAAGGCGAAGGCGGAGGCCGCCGCGTAGAAGCCGTGGCCCGCGCCGTGGCCACCGAAGTCGAGCCCGACGCCGAAGCCGCCCACGTGCGACCGGAAGAGCGAGTGGTGCGCCGGGTGGGCGAGGGCGACGACGGGGATGACGAGCGCGTGGGGGGCTTCGGGCAGCAGGGGCTTGTCGTGGCTGAGCACGGTGGTGGAGGAGATGTGCAGGCCAGGGTCGATGACGGCGTGGGTGACGAGGCCGGCCACGCCGTGGAGCGCGGCCACCGTGACGGCGTGCGCGGGCTTGGGGTGCAGCACGACGCTGTGGTGGGCGGAGGCCGGGGCCGCGGAGCCGTGGTGGGTGACGGCCACCGCCGGCACCAGCCCCAGCCCCAGCGGCGAGCGTTTGGCCACGCGGTGCGCGCCGCCTCCTGCGCACAACAGCCCAACTCAGCCTCTACGGAACCAGCCTTCGGCGGAATGCACACGAAGCTTTATCCCTCTACTGCCCCTTGTGACAAACATGGTACAAAATTTCTGCTCAACTCGCATTTGCGCATTTTTGCACTAATTTTGCAAATTTTATTTCATCAAGATGGAGACATCCGAAAAGAAACATCAATTGTTTAGCACTCAATGATTCTAAACGTGGTGCTAGAGGGTCCAGCACCTCCCATACGCGCACGAAAGTGACAACAAAGGACAAGCGCTATGCGCACAATGTTGCCTTCTGCATTAGAGAGTTAATGGGACGTGAAATGTCCTTTCCTGGCAAAGTTAAATCTTTGGGTCTAACTCTAAGAATCTGCTGATGTTAGGCTTACGAAAATTTCGCAGATTAGACAAATATCACTCATAGTAACACTGAAACAACAGTTCTGAAAAATGTTTACTATTTTTGTAGATGAAAATATTTCCTCATAATGCCTTTTTTTGCAGCGTTTAATAGTAAATAAAGTTTTCTAGAGCCGGCCTGGATAGGCGACTTCGCTAAGACTCAAGGGCCGTATCTGCCTTGGCTTAGGTCACGGGTTCGAATCCCGCCGCGTACATGGATATTTGTGTGTGTTCGTGTTGTCTTTGTGTGTTGTTCTTAAAGTTTCCTTTCTGTTAAAGCAGTTACAGTGGTCGCTTACCCTCACTCAGGGATCGATTCAATTTCGAAGAGGCACAAATGTGATCAAGGGGTCGATAATTGAATATGCACCGTCATTAATGATCCTACTGATTACAAAAAATGTGAATGAAAGTATGGTTTTGATATACAAAGCACAGAACATCTACTGATGTAATAAATTAGTAAATATTTTTTAATGTACAGTTTTAAATGCTACGATTTAAAAATCGATTTAAATCGTTGCACGTCAATGTTCTTTGTGTTTACTTCATGAGAACTGGCAATTGGATTAAAGTTTTCATTGGGTATCACTACTTCACGTGTTTCTATTTACACATAGAAGCTATTGTAAAAGGTTTGGTGTAGTGAGTAAAAGAAGTTCCCTGACATGTACTTGATGGCATGAGGGGTTGTAGATATATTCGCTCCATGCAGTTCAGTACTTTGTCGCCTGAAAGCAGAGGCGAAAGTTGTTCTAATATGTACACGTGACATACGATTATAGCGCTGGTTAGAAGAATGAATTACAGTGTGTTTGTAGATCTATTTATTAAAATGTTTAATTTCCTTTTTTTATAACCATTCTCATTTTCTTCATCAAAATATTTCATGTTATTTAATGAAAACTGCATATTTCTGCAGGTTTCTAAAGAACCTAAGGGAAGATTGAACGCGTGTGTTACATGTTTCCTTTGTTGACACTAGTTGCGCTGACTCCTCAAGGCATGAAAATTCAGAAAATAGGTGCAAGAATTGGAACCATACTAATCAATCAGACCACTTGCCTATGCTTAATTAACTATTATTGATTATCACCTGCTATGAGGCGATAGTTGTTTGCACCTTTTATTGTTTAGAAATAGAGCTCATATAATATAGCTGCCATAGTTCGTGTTATGTTTATTTTCTTGTTAATCTTTGATCTTGCGTATATTTTTTTTGAAGGCTTATCTGTGGGAAAGCTAATTATTTAGTAGTAAGTTACATTAAACATTTATTACATAATATTTATGAAATTTTATTCGTGAAATAGTAACAGTAAATCGTGAATTTATCTCTAGAATTTGCAAAAAACTCTTGGAATTAACCTATGAAAAGCTCGTGACTACCATAGCAAAGATGACCTTTCTACCGCCGCCAGCGATCAACCTTGACTTCACTGCCCTGGAGAGAATAAGAGGTCTCATGTTCTAAGCGTCTTACGAAACGTGGCGCTACGGATTAGATAATGGTAAGCCACCTCAAACGACTTTCGCAAAAGAGGCAATCGGAAGTTTAAACAATTCTGAAAATGAGGGGATCGACATAAAAACAACTTTATTGTATTGACCGTCGCCTACCAAATCCGTTCTGGAACCCTGAGGTCACCGATGGGGAGGGGTGAGTAAACGGTGGACTGGAGAATGAACATCAAGATAGTTTCAGTAAAATGTTATGCGTAGGTCGGTCAGAAAATAAGGCTTCTTATTTTACTTTCTTGCTTATGCAGGAGAGAGAAAGTGGTGTAACGCTGGGCGAAAGAAGATTTCTTACTATCCTTATATCCTTCTATTCCTATATTTCTTACTATACTTAGTCTGTCCAGCCGTCAGCCTGTGAACAGAGCTAGCGGATCTGAACCGTTCTGTCGATTTTCTCCGAAATTGATATCCCTCATCCATCTGGCTGATGTCACGGCCCTTTCAATTTGAGACCGATATTTTTATTTTGAAGGGTACTTTACATGAAGCTCCTGGGGATTCATGGTCGCAACGTTTTCGATTACATTTTATTTTTGGATAGTGTGGAGGAAGTGGAGGAAGATAGAGATGTTTTCCCTACATGAAACCTGTTTCTTAAAAATAGATTTTGAAGTAAGGTAATGTAAAACATTTGAGTACTTTGCGCGTAATTTTGCATGAAATTTCTGGCGAGAAAGTACGTGCTGTTTTAGCACCAGTACTTTTCTATTTATGTAACATAAGTTAAGTTGATAAGAAAAATTTGAATTTGTCACTATTCCTCAAACCTTCTACAACCCATTGCAGTAGTAACATTCTGCGGTAGCACAGCAGTCGCTTAAAAATTGGCCGACATCGATGTTCGTATGGGACACTTGTGGGATTTTATTCTTGAATGCAGAAGGGTAAGGGCTCATTCTCATTCATGAAAGACTGAAAAATATGTACGGTGGTGCAACAGCGAATATCTGGCCTGGTAGACGATGGGTTAATCGCTGGTGATAGGTTCATCATAATGGTATCAACAGTTATTGTTGCGAGCGTGGTGAAACAGTTCAAACGCACCACGTGTACATACTGAAAATGGATTGTCACGAAGTACAAATATTTGATTTCATTGGAAGCTGACGAGGCCAGGACCTTCTGTTAACAAAGCCCTGTGAAAAAATGAGGTCTCAGGTCGGGTTTGCGACAATCCCGTGTTCACTAGTAAACTGTTGCTGTCAAGTGTGTTAAAACTGGGGTCTCGGAGCGTGAGCTTGTCGTAAGAATTGCTTTTATATATTCCCGGAGTTCCTGAATATCTAACAAAAACAAAGACGCCTCTTACACGTCCGGAGCTGTATTTCCGTCTTTCAATTTCTAAGCGCATTAAAAAATTACATTTATTGCGTTAACTTCATGAACATTGGAAGTCGCGACTACTACATATAATGAAGAATCGAGTTCACGGAGTCTATTCCTCTCCAATTAACTGAATTAGTGTATCAAAGGAACTGATAACATCATAATCTGAGGTTTTATGAAATGTGTAACAAATATCTCAGTTGTGCTTGTTGATGGCTTGCCATTGTCTATTCCAAGCGCCTCAAACGTCGATCCCTTACCTGCTCTGCTGAAGTGCGACGAGTGGTGTTTAGTGAGACTCTTGCTCGCCTTTATTCTCCCAAACAAAGGTTGGCGCTGGGAGAACGCTTTCGACACATTCATTTCCCCTGAAGCCTCATTATTCTCTATTCCTTTTGTAGTGCGTTGGAGCTGCGAAGATGTCGGCCAAATGAAAAAATGTGGTATATTCCCCCGCATTCCTTGCTTTTCTGGTACATAAATAAAAAGCTTGTTATCTCTTTTCAAGTCAGCTCTTAGAGGACCACTTTTTACTGCTGTTACTATGCTCGGTTTGAAACCGACGTTCGCCATTTCGAGCTGTAATTGGGGCTTACAGATTGCTACAGACGTTCCAAAAATAACTTCTGTCCCGTCTGCCCTTAATATTCGCAGTGTTTGGTCTGTTGACTTCGGGACAGACATTCCTTCTTTACAATCCTTTCTCATAACGAAAATGTTCTTTTTATGAGATAGGTTTTGAGAATGTTTCTTTCCGAGTGGCAAGGAATCCACAAGTATTCCCCTTGAACTTCTTTGGGGGAAAATTCTCCTGTTTATCTCTTCATGTATACTGCTGGGAAGTCCATGCCTGGGAAAAAACAAAACAGAGAATCTGATAAAATTTAGCTTTGTATACTAATATAATAAAAACACTATTATTATTGCAATTGATATTATTATTGTTATTGGATGGTACAAGTGTGACTTCAATTTTGGACGTCAAGAACGGTATTTATTGTTATATATTTAGAAACACTTGCATGGTCACATTACGGTCAAGTCAATCACTTTATTAACATCATGTGTTACAGTGTCGTGTATGTTTATGTGAAACAGAAAGCTATTTCAAACTTATTTAATTTACGAAACTGTGTCACTATCACCCCTCGACTTTTCTCGACGATCGAAGAAATTGAAATGCAGAATTGAACGGTGATATTACCATGACATGATGGTCTATAATAACGGTCATAAAGCTGAATGTATAAATATGCATCCATTTATCCATTTTTATCCATTAAATATGCATCCATTACCATTTTTATCAACTACTATATTTATAATACGCTAAGGAAATTGACAGTTTTTGAATTTATAAGATACTACGGCCACAAAACCCAATTATTTGTAAGTGCTGAATAGTGAACTCTCCAGTCCTGAATCCAACATATTTAAGACAAAAGAATTGTAATTTGAAGATTACGAGATGGGACGCTCGAAATGGTCGCTCAGAGCTCCGAAGCGATGCGCTCCAGGTCCTTAAAGGTGGCGTAGAGAGTGGGAGGAACACACGAGAAAATGGCAGGTTCAGTTGGGGAAACGCAAGGATAATAGCGGAGCGAATTGTTTCCTTTTCTTTAGCGTTTTGAACATTTTATTACTTATTGAAGACTTGTTTATTTTGGGTGCCCCCACTCCATAGTATGGAGCTCAGGAAAGTTCGGAAATCCAGACCTACGGTCGGCTAGCGGAGGTTTACCCACCAGCGCGGCACCGCCGTAGCCGGGAGAAGCTCTCAGCTCGCGACTGGTATCTTAAGACTTTGCCGTAATTTGTGGTCTGCATATTCGTCAAATGATGAGAATATGCAAGATTTTGAAGCTGAGTAAATTTCTGTGCGTTTGGATCTCCCTTTATGGTAAGACTACAGGGTTTAACTTTTTTATTTATCTATCCTTGGGAACAAGCGCGATGGAAAACCTGCTACATTCTCATAATGAAGTCGTCCAGAGAAGAGGACGACCAGAAGCGAATAAGGTTTACGCGAACGTGTAGCGTCTCCACGTTGTTTTTACTTTCTCACAGTAGGGAAGTTGGCCTGGTAAACGGCGAATTTTTGGCAGAAATTTTTTTTTGCCGAGCCCTGCTAACGAAAAAGTGAATAAATTCTATTGCTATATATAGTAAATTTTTTCCCTCTAACACGTGGTGTAACCAGAATCACTGTTTTGTGGGTCCTTTATACCGAAAAATAGATTGACGGCAAAACGTCTGTCCGTCCGTCCGCCCATACATCAGTCCGCTCTGCCGGCCGGTTGCCAAAAAGTTGTGATATTTCTAAATTCTTCGTTTGAAAAACTCCAATTTTTTTCTTAAAAATCATTCCTCTGATACAAGATGATATACTTTAAAGAATGTCGCGAATCTCATTTTCGTTGAACACACTGAATTTTTAAAAACGACAAATTTACAAACAATGCGAGAACGTAAGTGCTGTTGTAGCTCCTGGTTTCATCATTTTTTGTCGGTCAGAAAAGAGAAGAAAGGATGCATCATTTGTTCCAATGACAGGTCGCGGAGTATAATGTTTCGTTCCGTGCCCTGACGTAACTTCATTTGTTACCATACACGTTCAAGTGTTTGATCTTCAGCGCTTTTTTGCGGCATTCGAAGGGAATATTTTCATCTCGATTACGTGCAGAAAACGAAATGACCGTGAAAATCGCAGGGACTGGCGCATTCATTTTTGTTCCCGAAACAGCAGCGCGTGGAAATAAACGATCGTCTTGTATCTGTTTTCCGGATGGCAGAAGGACGAGAAAACGGCCGCGTGAAGCCGGGTGGAAAGAAAACACGGAGCGAGTGAAGTCTCCCCGAACGCGTAAGAAAGCAAATCGCCTGCGAGCGACCTGTCTGGCACCCGGAGCACGTACGCCACCGGCCCGAGCCAATTTGTCACGCGCACGGCAGGCAGCCTTTGCGGGGAGCGACGCCCAATAGGGACACTGGAATTCGATCACCTGTAACGGTCGCCCCGCCGGCTGCCACGTGGAGGCCGGCTCCCCGCCCCCGCCCCCGCCCCCACATTTACCCCGTATTCAATTCAAGGCGCCTGTCATTTATGTTCCTATGACGCATGTAATATTGTTTTATGCCTGAATATGGTGAACTGTTATTGGAACGACTTTTTCATAAACAATGTTTAAGGTGTAAATTTTGAAAGAACAAATATTGCCTCTGAAACCTTGGTCCATCACCTTATGACATTAATTACTGACATAAGGTGCGGAAGAAGCGGCACAAATTGTAATATTTTTTTAAAAAGAACAAGAATCGAAACTAATATGATTATAAACGTTTAATAAGTTAATTTTAAAATAATAAATATTGTCTAAAAATGGTTCTAGTAATTCTCTTCCGATTCTTCTTCTGTTTCATTTGATTCCCAGGGTCGAATAAATGTAAGGTGAAAGGAGCGTAGCGAAATTTGCGTGGTCAGAGAGAAGGGCAGGCCTGATGGCCCGAGTCTCGCCACGTAAAATAAGGCATCAATTCAATTCAATGCAATTCGATTCGATTCAATTCAGTAGACAGTTGAAATGAGCTTTCGGTAAGTGACGAGAGTCTTTCTAAAAAACAGGTGTTATTCTCACATGAGTGCCCACTCATTCTGAGAAGGGACACAGTGTGTAGGGGAAGTCTAACTGCCAGTTGCTCCCATCGTTAGCTTTCCGTTGTTTCTCCAACTCCACGTTCCAATCAAAATGATCACACTTCCTTTCTCGACGTACCCGCTCCCGCCAGGATCTGATTCGCCAGGTATACTATGGGTCTACAATCGCACCTGCCGGATGCCTAGACGTTCTCATGAAACCCAGATGAAAGTGAGGAAATCATAATACTGCGGTGACTCCGATAGACACGTCTCCCATTCTGCAAAAGACACGTCGAGCAGTTCTTACCCGGTTGGGAATATACGATTATGTTTACCCTATACTAATACCTATATCACTCTACGTAATATTCTTATTCATCAGGTGTCGGTATCAAAAGCCCACTATGAAAATAGATTTTCAATACACTTTCATTACTTTACAACACATCAGTAACATTTAACGACTTAAATTGTTTTATAAGTTTAAGTGCCACGCAAAATCTTTTCTGCTGCAAAACTGTTTCTTTTCGATTTGCGGCAGTACTAAGTATAAAAATATGAAGGGAAACCAATTTTAACAATGCTATTTAATTTTTTAGTCACCATTTGAAATTTCTATCTCTAAAACAATAAAAATGGCTACAACAATTATTGTACCTCAGCTTCTCAATCAGTGGTGGCCATCCCGGTCAATTCCTTGGTCAGCAGGAAATGAAATTATTCCAATAATCGTTCTTTATGTTGTCATGACAGTAATACGATTCCTTCACAAAGAGCACGGTAAGGGATAATAGTCAAAATCTGTATATGATGTATTTTGATTTATTTAGTGAGAAAACAGTAAATATTTATTAGACTATGGTGGACAAGATTATCTGCTCCTTTTCTTGAGCTCTCGATTTCAATCCCGACACTTTAACTATAAATAGTTGAAATATGAAAGTTGAAAACTATAACAAACAAAATAATAATAAAATTTTTAAAAAAACACGAGATTAGCAACCTTCGAAAAACTTAAGCAACAGGGCAGACCACCGCCACCTCTTGAGCAAAGTCATGCATAACACTTACTGAACTAATGACCCGAGTAGTTGACGCTCCCAGAATCACTAACAATCAGTCATCATCATTATCTCATAGTGATGGTGTTGTCTCAGATATAGTGATGGCATTGTCTATTTCGTGTTACTTTCTTTCAAATTTTTCTTTCAAAAGTCATAACATTTCTGCATGTACGCCATTATGGGGTGGAAGGAGACGATAAACAATGAAATCTGACTTCAACGGCCGCCAATTAATCCGACAAAAATTGGCCTTTAATGGGGTGACCGCTTAATCAAGATTACGAGGTTACTGGAAGCGTAAATCAAATCTAATTGCGCTAATTGCTATGAAATGAAGTATGTTCTTTTTAAATATATTTAATTTTACATAAATGACAAAGTACAATTTAAGCAAGTTATTTAGAATTATTTATCTTCTCTCGACCTACATCAAAATACACCCTTGAATTGTCACTCATTATTTTAGACGAGAAACTAATTATCCGTCCTCACTGATTCGACCAAGCAAATTAGACTTGGAAATGCAATTCTCTTCTGGCAAAACTTTACAGCAGGGCAGTCTGACGAAGAAGTTAGAGAATTACTCAGTTTAGATTCGCGCACCTGTAGATTCCCACAGAGGGGATGTACGAGTTGTAATCCATAGGAATACTGTGTCGTGAGGAAAAAATAACGCGCGGTTGTTTCTTTAAAAGATCCTTTTTATTAAATGAATATGGTACTTAAAACAGAAAGTAATCTAGCTATGTGGCGAGTGTCGAAAATCCTCTAATCGTAGGGCGTTCGGAGCGACTTAAGCAGATGGTTCTATAGCACAGACAGGTTACTGTAAGTAGGGACCGCTTTGTCAGATACTGCTTGGCCACTGCTGGGAATATAACTGTAAGTTACGTCTATGCACTCACTTTGTCAGTGCGTTCGTTTACTGTTAGCTCATTTGTAAAGGGCTTCATCCCAATCTCTTGCAATCTTGACGTTACTTTTCTTCATTACTTGACAAAGTAGTGCCTTCCCAGAGTAACTCGTCTATAGCTTGATGGTGTAGCCTGATAGCTGATAGAGAGAGATCACTATAAGAAGGGACTACTTTGACAATACTGCTTCTCCACTTCCTGAAACATGCCTGAGTCCAAGTCCAATTTTGTCAGC